AATATTATTTTTTAAGTTTTTACGAGATTATAGCTTAAATTTTTGAATAATATTATAATATCTATAATGTTCTTTTATATAGATATGAATAAAATAAAAATATAAGCACACTCAAGTTTTACATGCAATTTATTTAAAATGTACAATGTTATTCAACTATTTATAATGAAACAATAAAAACATATTAATCTAATTCCGTTCTTGTACATTTTTTAAAAAAATATTATTAGTCGCTTATAAAAAATTAACTCTAAAATTAACTCTAAAAACAGTACGTAATATCATATCAATTGCCTACCTATATATTTTTAAGTAAATGACTTATACACGTAGACTAAGATTATATAATTTATTTATAGTTAAGAATAAAAAATTGATATTATATTTTAGAAACTTAGGTTTTTTAAACTTACTACCTAACCTTTTTTTTTATTTAAATATATTTTATATAATCGGACAACAAATATCAAAATTCAAAATATAATTAATAAACTACTGAGTAGACATAATATAGGTATTGATTTTTTTCTATGAATATATTCATTCATGATAAGATCTTATTATTTATGAGGAYGCCACTAACGCATGTGTTGTCTCCATCTTACAAATGCGTAACATAGCAAATTTTACACCTAATTTTAAAATTCTCATAACTCACTTTAAAATTAAAATATAATTAAAAGATCATGAGATACCCTAGATAATAATGTTACCTTTAGTTTTATAACAGGTCAATTCTCTCTGAATTTTAATTTAACGGAGCTAAACGTGATCTGTTGAGCGTTAAATTTTCTATGTTACGCGCTTGTAAAATAAATAAAACACATGCGGGTGCGGCGTCCTTTTAATATACAATTTTATGAATATTATTACGTTGTTCACTATATTATTTTGTTTAACATTATTTTATTTATGAATAACATTATTACCTACTATTTATTCTTAATGTAAAATTGTCTTTTCAATAAGAAATTCCGTTTAAGTTATCACAATTAGCAAATAAAATGGAAATCCTACAATGCTGAAATTATTACCTATTTAAAATTAAGCTCAAATGTTTTAATTGTTAAAAATGTTATATTAATATGATAAATTCTATAGTAATTTAGTTTAATGGTTGTGTTTATTACGTTAATAAGCATTGCGTCTTTTCTCTCTTTCCCATTGGTATTAAATTATTATTATATAGGGTGATTTAGTAGGTAGGTGATACGTGATTTTGAAAAGGAAATCATATTTATTTKTATGTTTTTACTATTTTATGTAGATTTTTTAATAAAAACAAGTTGAAGATTAACAAACCGTAATCAGAGATTCCATTGGTTTGGTAATAAAACTGTACAAATGAGCAAAGAGTTTGATTTTAATGAACTAAGTATTGCTGTATTGGTATTATGATGCATTAAAAAAGTAATGATCACCAAGAAATTCTCAGTCCAATCTCTATTGCTACAATCGAGTTATTCAAGTATATTAAACTTTATAATTTATTCTATAAAATTAAATTTACATATTGCTTGTTTAACCTAACACTTTACATAAATGTTTTGAATGGTCTTATCTTCTGTGAATGAATTTAGAGATAAAAAAAGCTTATAAACCAGTATACTAGTCATCATTAGTACAATGTAATTTATAATATGTCCTATTAAATATTAGTACATTGAATTTCAGGATCAAAAATAAAAATAATACAACAAGTATTTATAAAATGAATGTTAACTATGTTATAGGTAATATGTGTAACATCAGCTAATACATACCATATAATATTAATTAATTTGAATGAAATTACGTTATTTCGTTATTATAAATGTAGGATTATCAAACAATAATGAGTATAGTGATCGAATTATAGGGTCATATACCAACAGAGTCCAGCCAGCCCACTTTCATTTTTTCATAGGTAGATATCGTGTTCCTCTTCGTTTAATTTTAAGAAAGAAATGTTAGAAAAGAGAATTTGGATTTTGTTTCAGTTTATTTCTTATTAAGTGATGGCTATTTTTCTGCCAGAAAACGGCTATCGTCAACGATAGTCGATACGGAATCAATAATATGTTAGCTACATATATTATATTTATTAACTTATCAAACATATTTTACTATAAGAAAAATTAATTAATACTATTCACTCGGAAATTAGGTTATTGCCGATGACGATCATTGAAAGTACGAAACATACGATATACCTACACTGTATACCTAATATATAATAATATTATTTTGTTTTCATATTTTATTATTGGACGTAATCACGGAATTAATTTCGCGTGGATTAACGAATCACGGGTAATAGACGCCACAACGTCACATTCTACGAAGTACTAAACAATAAAATAAGTGTTTGAATATTAAAGTGTTATTGTGTACACTATTATTAAATTAACTATATATGTAAGGGGTACTGTGAGTTACCATAAAATGTACAAGTTATGATGTTTTCTGAACTAAATTAACATTCATTCTCAATTTTTGTTTCTATTTGAGTACTGATAATGATTCATAACTTAGACATAAAGTTCTTCCATAAAACGTTAGTGAATGTATAAAAATTAATCTGCATATTTATTTTATGTTGATGGAAGACGAGTARCAGCGACTGAGAAGCATAATATTCTCGATATGTCAATTGTAGAAAAAAATGTTGTAGACATGGGCTAAAATATGGTACTTTGCCATAATTAATAATATACTTGAACCAGTTTGGTTTTTGTTTTATTGTCTTTAATACCTCTAGTTGGGATGTCTCACCATTTCAAATCATTGATGTAAATAGTGAGCCAAATGTCAAACTGTTACAGCAAAAGGTTGTAAAAGGTGAAAAGGAAAATGTAAGTGCCAAAACTTTTAAATATTTAAACGAGTATTTAAACATAAGAATGACCAATATCACCCATAGGGTAAATCTTAGACGATGGACAAAGTTCAACTAGGTTCTTACTGTTCTTAGACCTATATTTATAGTGAAAGATAACTACAATTTTGATAAAGAATTGAAATGCTTATTTTAAATTGTATTTTTATTTTGTACAATTTATTATTATCTATTTAAAATTAAGTGTTTTGCTTTTACAATCTGCAAATATATATATATATATCCTATACAAAAGTATAGGTATAGTGAATGTGAGTATAGGGCAGCACCCCAACTACATAGTCCCCGACAATATTATTAATATTATACTAACAATATCATACGATTGTCATTGATATTTTTGTTGGGGAAAATTCTTCCATATAAATAATATGATACGAAACAAGTAATTTAACTGGAATAATAATTGTAGTTGAGACGTTATTTCTACTCACAGTCACAACGTGTGTGGCGAGTGTGTTATGCAATAATAAAACGGTAGTAATAATTGGCCGAGTGCGAATTTCCTGCCGTGGACACGAGATGGCTATTYGGTAGACAGATGTATTACGTATAGCGTTGTAATAGCGTTTTGGCCTCTGTCCCGCCAAATCTCTTTATTTTCGTACAGTCGCGGCGGCGTGGCAACGCGAAAAGACGGTAAAATAAATAATAACGCATCTATTTTATAATAGTTGAAAGTGGTAAAAATTTAAAAAAAATTAATGATATACTTGCGTTGTTATTCATAATATTAATATTATTCATTTTATTTTATTTTACCTTTGGTTTTCGCATGGCTCCTCCTCCACCACCACCACCACCACCACCACCGTAGACGACGGTTACCAGTTACTTTGATAGCAACCTCGACCACTGTCACTATTTCGGTTCCGGTTGGGTTTCGATACCGGTGAAATCCGTTTGTGGATATCCGAGCCGGCCCCACGGGGCACACGCCGCCGGTGGTCGTCCGCGGCGGACGCCAGGAACGCGTAAAAAAAGAAGAGTACGAGTTACGAATACAACTCAATATTATATTAAGTGTCTACCGACAAAAATTTTCTCGATGATTATGGAGGAACGGCGCGGTTCGTAAACGAAAAAAAATCGAAATCCAAACAAAATTCTCGCGCCAAAGTTACACACACGTCCGGCGGCGGTCGTTACGGCACTGCACTCTTCTTCCTGTGGGACTTGCGCTCCGCACGGTCCGCTCGCGCCGGCTCCGTGAGCGAGCGCACACACAACGCACGTATCCGTGGTAACCGCGGTAGCGGTAGGTATATAGCGGTTGTGCTCAACGGTTCATATTATATTATAGCGTCGCGCATTTTTTATGTACACACACACATACACATACATCTGGCATATACATACGAGTTTGCGGAGAAAAAAATGTTTATAATATAATATAAAAAAAATGCTCGCGCGTCCAACCAATGGTGCAGGTGGCGGTATTCTGTTATGCATACGCAAAGGTTTTATTATTTATTTTTGCAAAAGTGTATAATTATTATCAAACGACTTTTATAGTTTTATACCGTTAAAAGGCACGGCCACACATTGTAAACACGAGTGAATTATTCGTATTATTTTGTTATTATATCCAGTTTTTACGATTTTTTTTTAAATTCTTTTTAACTTAAGTTTTCATTTTTTGATCAAGCCTTTTTTCTCTATTTTTACGATGAATCGTATGCTATAATTATATACATATTCGTACAATAGACTACACATATTACTTTTACTATATTAGTACATTGCATAGTACCTATAATGAGGATTCAGCTAAAATTCCATAAATTCTTAATATTTATATTCTAATCAACCGTTTATATGAGTTGTAAAATAAAACGTACAACATATTCCTATTTGTGCCTAGATAMAAATTGGTAGGTATTTTATTAATTATAATAAACAATGAACGCAATATCTTTTGCATTAATCAATAATGATATTATTATAAACGTTATACCCACTCGCTACTTTTTAAAAAAAAATTTACAGTCACCCTAGTGTCTTGAACATATGTATTATATTCTACGATCGTCACATTTTCGAATATCAATATSATAGCTGAAATACCCATACACTGTGTACCACAGCACTAGTTGTACGCAGTAGCTCAAACATTTTAAGAGGGTGCGAAATATATCGGTCGTTGTTTGAGAGATTATGGCTATACTCATAAAGCAATTATTCCGTTTTTATTTCTTTTTTATTCCACGAATTGTCGTWGCGTTATTTATATATTATTTAATAAGATTAAAATTGTTACGACCAAATAATATTTCGTGTATATTATTGTAAACAATGAATATACAATTAGCTATTGAAAACCCTTATCTACCTATATAGATACATTGAACATACTTTTAAAAGCTTATCATTATTCATTGTTTCTTATTTATGCCATCATGCTAGAAAGCCAAATTATTACTTAAAAAAAATAATAATATTCTAAACAATATGTCAATTGGTGAAATAAATTAAATATATTTTGAATAATTTAATTTGAATTTWATGAAAAACATTTCAGATAAAAAATAAATCTAAACAAAGATGAGTCAGTTTCTGTTACTAATTATATTTTATTACTGATTTATTATTGATATTAAAGTGACAAAAACATGACTTTAAATAGGTAYTTGCACCAGCTCATAATACTAAAGTTGTATAATATGCATATTTAACAATGGTTTTGATATACATGAGTATATTTCCAAATGAAAAACATATTTATGTAATGTTTTTTATCGACAATAAATAATACATTAGTGTATATATTGAACAATATTCGAACTTTTAACATGTGTATGCACTACATCTAAGTATACGTACTTACGYTATTATAGCTTATGATTATTATAGAGCTTCAGCCCCCAGGAAAATTTTTCTAGATATTTGAATTCTGAAGCAACTACGAGCATTTTAAAGTGTATGTTTTGAAAATTCAAGAAATTTAATAATTAGGTATCTCTTTTCTAAGTCATTTTAATCAAAATTGCATCATGAACTAAGATAATA